TTAGGAGTAATTGCAACAGAAAAAACATGCATTCTAAATTCCCCTTACATATTCTTAAGAGTCTGTTATTTCTTACTCTCTAATATGGTATGTGCTAGTCACATGTGGTGGCTTAAGTTTAAATTAAAGAAAATAAATAAAATTAAAATTTTAATTCCACAGTCACACTAGCCACATTTTAAGTTCTCAAAAGTCACAAGTGGCTAATGGTTACTGTATGGGCAACATTGATATAAAATCTTTCCATCATCAAAAGTGCTACTGGGCATTGCTGATTTATATAGTGAAGCTCTGAAATTGCAAATGTGTGTGTGTGTGTGTGTGTGTGTGTGTGTGTGTGTCTGCATATGAAAGCTGTAGCTGCACATATGGTTTTGTTTCTGTTGTCCTCTCAATGGGCTGAAGAGTAGAGACGATGTTTTGAACTTTTCTTATAAAAAATTACTTGTTTTTGATAAATCTGTGACAAAGACTTTTTTATTTTTTAACTTTAAAAATATATGTATATTTTTTATTGATTTCAGAAAGGAAGGGAGAGGGAGAGAGAGAGGTAGAAACATCAATGAGAGAGTCATTGATTGGCTACCTCCTGCACACCCTGTACTGGGGATCAAACCTCCAACCTGGGCATGTGCCCTTGACTGAAATTGAACCCAGGACCCTTCAGTCCACCAGCCAACGCTCTATCCACTGAGCTAAACTGGCGAGGGCAAAGACTCTTTTCTTAATCAAACTTTAGTTAGGCTCCTCTGAGCCCTCAGGCCTGGACCTTAGCCTTCCATGTCCATTCTTGCTGAGTCCAATTTTAGCAAGAATCCGGCGAAATCAGTTTAGAGAGAATTTCCCCCACTTTAAATATCTGATTAAGCCCCTCATACCACACCCTGAACGTTCTTGCGTTCTTGCTTGCCTTTACCAAGAATCTTATTAGGCCAGTTTAGCAAGAATCCCCTTACCCTTGATGTAGCCTCGTAATAATTTTTACCCACTGACCCTCTCATTGTGCATGTTGGTTATGAATCTCCAGCTATCTCTTTCATATTCAGAGTTGAGTACATCTCGCTCCTGTATTATGTCTCCCTCTACAATATTGCAATACACTAAAGTCTTCTTTAGCATTTTAATAAGTGTCAGAATAATTTTCCTTTAACACCTGATACATAAGAATTACCTAGTAGGCATTATCTTACAGGTATAGAAAGGGGGAACCCATAACTGAAATCCATAATAATAAAATTAGAAAATTGGAATAACTTTAGAGATCATTTAGTTGTCATGATATTGGAGGAAATCCCTCTACAAAAACAGTCTTGACTGAATACCTGTTTATAAAAAAAATACTATTTATTGGGAAGTCTGTTTAATTTTTGGGATAATTCTGAATGTTAGATATTTTTCTTCTTCTAGGTAGCCATTCCTATTTCTATTCCTCCCATTTATTAATCTGAGTTCTGACCTCTACATTTAAAAGAATAAACCAATCACCTAGGCAATTGCCATTCAACTATGTAAAGATAGCTGTCATAGCCCATCCTAAGCATTTCTTTTAGAGGAAAAAGTCAAGTGTCTATCACTACACCTCAGGGGATGTGGCTTCTAGATCTTTCTTTGCCCTGGTCCCCCTCCTGTGGTTTCACTTCAGCTACATAATATTCTCTTAAATGTCACCCCTGGCATGACTCACGGAGCTCAGTGTGTTCTGGTCAGTGCAGGAGGCCTCTGCCTCCTAGGTCATCTTTCACTGCATGGAGAGCGGTGTTCGGTCTTTGGGCTACCTGCCATTTAAAAACCCATAATTTTTTTTCATCATTTTTAAAAACTACTATTGAGCTAGATTTCTTTCATTTGCTATTTCTAGGCTTGATTTTAAACTTGAATTTAGGATGTTACATTTGTTCCTGTTAAATTTTAATCTATTTCCTGATTCTGTTGTGATATTTTTGAATTCCAAGTCAGGGACTCCATATACTAGTGACAGTAAACATTGAATAGTATCTACGAATTTGATAAATATGTTTACTGTGCATTCATGTCAAATCATTGACAAAAATATCGAGCAAGGCACTGAGTCCTGCGCCTATCAGCTAGTACCTCCCTTCAGATAGGCGTTGTTTGGCTTGGAGTCAAGTTGTAAATCCTGGCTCTGCCCTTGACTAACCTTGTGGCCTTGACATTATTTAACTCGTCTAAGCCTCAGGTTCTCCTTCTACAAAATGAAGCTAATAACAATGGTATTTACTTATGGCTTCATGTGGAGCTAAAATGAGAACATATCTGGGAAGTCCTTAGCCTAGTGACATAAAATGTATAATTTTTTTCATATCAAACTTATAGGAAAATTCAAAATGTAGCAGGTATGATATAGAAAAAGGATTTCACATATTGTTTGGAGTAGACACCATAAGATATGTTCTTTATGTTTTTCATAAACAGGAAAAACACTTGTTAGCTTAACGGTGGACGGGGAATATCTATACTGGGTCTCCGCAGCAAAGGACGGCACCGAGATTTATCAAGTAAAGAAATGCCGAGGGGCCATCCCCTCTCAGGTGAAGGCCCCCAGGAGTGAGCGCATCTTGGCTTACAGTTCGGTGCTGCAGCCTTTTCCAGGTAATCCAGTCACAGGCTGAGTCAACTTGTTCTCCCAGTTCAGGGCCAGGAAAGTCTCATCATGACTCCTTCTCCGGGCTGTTTCTCCAACTCCTGTGTTGTGCTGTCAGTGTTGCTCCAGACTGCCAGGATTTGGCGTGCGCTGTGATTGCTGTTTGCCTTGGGTCGCCATTCATCTATGCGTGTATTCGCGGCTTGGGGTGCGGGAGGCAACCAGAGGCATGGGAAACCCTTGCTGCCTGTTTCTCTTTCTCTTCTTAGTCCCGAAAGTTCCTTTCTTTCTGCCTTTTTTCTTCTCTGACGATATTTCAGACTCCCAATGATTTCACAAAGCATTGCATAGCATTCCAAGGTCAAGTGCCTATTTATAATAGTGTTCTGTACATCAACCATTTAACAACATACATGTGTCCTACCACTTTTACTCAGTTCTTATCTTTTTAAAGATGTGACACTCATGAAACTTTTAGTGTTGGGCCCCTAACTCTATTTCCCCCTGTGGATTTTATTGTGCAATTTTGTATAAAGCAGTGACTTGTAGGAATGCATGTGTCACATTATGGGCAGAACTGATTATATATATTTACTACTGTGAGTCACAATAAAAAAATGTTTGAAATTTAAAAACCAACCAACCAGTCAAAAATGAAAACAGCATTATATAAACTCATGGGTGATTTTCTCAAGCTCTCTCTGCCATTAAGATGCCTATGTTATTCTAAATTAAGTATAATTCCCACTAGAGAGGGATAGAAATGAATGAAACAAACTCAAATAATCTTTGCTTAAATGTATTCATTTATAAAATATGTAAGTTACAAAATATTTTTAAAAAAATGAAGATTTTATAAATTGAATGACATTTTGGTTAAAAATTAATTTTCCACTTTGAGAAATTTAAGAGATTTTAAAAGTCCATGAACATATGATTAATATAATGTTCTAATTACTTCAAAATAAAATAAGGACCAACTTTATTATGCTACTGTCTAGGTCAGTGATGGCGAACCTATGACACACGTGTCAGAGGTGACATGTGAACTCATTTTTTTGGTTGATTTTTCTTTGTTAAATGGCATTTAAATATATAAAATAAATATCAAAAATATAAATCTTTGTTTTACTATGGTTGCAAATATCAAAAAAATTCTATATGTGACACGGCACCAGATTTAGGGTTTTCCAAAATGCTGACATGCCAAGCTCAAAAGGTTCGCCATCACTGGTCTAGGTACATTATAAAGGATATACTTTAGCTCCATCTGCTGGAAATGTTAAGCAATTACCAGTTACTTTGCTCCCTAGTTCATCCATCTTTAAGAAAAAACTTGTCTTTCTGTCCTGAATAGTATTTCCAACACTTCAATACATCATGCCTTATAAGTTAAGTAAAAAATAAAAATTATATTACCCTCAATGTTCATATGTGTATATATTTAATCTTTTTTCTTATTATTTTAGATAAAGCATTTCTGTCTCTAGCTTCAGATATCGCAGAGCCAATTATACTTAACACCACTAACACCAGCCTCACAATTAGATTACCGTCTTCCAGAACAAACCTCACCTGGTATGGCATCACCAGCCCAACTCCAACATACCTGGTTTATTACAAAGAAGTTAATGATGGGAAAAATGGCTCTGAGCCAAAATATAGAATGCTGGTAAGATTGGAGCTGGTGGTCTTTGTCTTTTTAGAAGATACTCTTTTTTGATATGAAATTCTTAGTCATAGTATTTTCTATATCATTTTCTGGGATGTGCTATTATGCAACCTGTTATAGCTGATTCATCAAAGCATATTGTGTCTAGTCTTCTCGTCTGGGAATAAGTTACACTTAAACAAACTTTATTAACTGACCAGTTGGTAGATCGTCAGCAGTAACAATTTCCTGACTGTCCTTGAAAGAACTGGATTTTTTCTCCTTCCTGGTTATCTAATTATCCCTGGAAAGTGATGCATATGCGATTTTATGGCCCATCTAGCAGAATTTGGTTGAGGGGTAAGAAATGCATTTGACAGAGAGAACATTGCCATATACCTCTGTCCTCCATAGCATATATCTAGTATAAAAATTGTATATTGTTTGTGATTTCCAGTATTTTGTGAAATGCCCCATCATGCAGGGGCTATGCTTTGATTTATCATTGTATTTCTAGTACCCAGCTTAGTACTTGACATTGTATAGGCATTCACTAGATATATCTGGAGTGAATAAATGAATTGGCATAATTCTTGGCAACATGGGCACTGGTGTTTTAGTTGTCCTTGTGATGAAATCATGTGTATCCTATATTTTGCTTTGTGCTACTTATTTAACCAAGTCAAAAAGTGAAATTAACCATCTCCTATTTGAGGTTAACAAGTACACTTTGCTAGAAAATACAGCTGGTTCTTATTACTTCATTTAATTTGTCTGTTTTTATCTTTTTTACACATTTCTAAAGAGAGTTGTTTTAGAGGCAGCTTGGATCATTTGGCTGACTAAGGCTGGGCTGTGGCACTGGACATGGCTATGAGAGCTCATGTATCTTGTCTTCACATTGATTAACATGCACCAAAGGCATGGTTCTCAACCTCGTGCACACTGGAGCTCTTAAAATCTCTTCATCCAGGTTTTCCCTCAGGCCAGTTCAGTCAGAATCTCTGGAGGTGGGACCCAGAAATCAGTATTTTCTTCAAATTTCCAACATGATTCCAACCTACAAACAAAGATGAGAATCATTGACCTAAGGAAGGTCTTTTTACTTAAACTTTATTTCTAAGAATGACTAGATAATGTAGCTTAATCTTTTCTATTGAATTCTATTGTTTCACATCCTTCCAATACCATTTTGCTGAATTTCTAATGCAATGCCAATGAAATAGTGTCCTCCTCTGGGAATGTTCCTTTGTATGTGAGATGAATATGCCACAAAATTGACTGAAGGCTGTCAGTCATTTAGCATTTATTCCTGTAGCTATTAAACAACTCAGGCCTGGGCAGATTAGAACAGTGAACATTGTCCTTCATGATCCAATATCTACACATAAAAAATGTTGAGTCTTTTAATATTTTATCACTTTGATTAAATAATTTCTCCCCATTTGTAGAAAAAATAAAAATCACATATTAATATTTGTAAATTAATTGCAGGAATTTCAGGAGAGTATAGCCCTTATTGAAGGCTTACAACCATTTTCAACATATATGATACAGATCGCTGTAAGGAATTATTATTCTGATCCTTTGGAACAGTTACCTCTGGGAAAAGAGATTTGGGGGAAAACTAAAAGTGGAGGTGAGCTATGGGCTTGGTGTGGGGTGCTAGAGTGGAGTTTTGTAATATATGTGATGTGTATGTCTATATTTGTTTGTTTTTTACCTGAATATAAAGTCATCTTTATTATTTGACCTTTTTAAAGCTTAATAAGGAAAATATATTGGTTGAAAAATACTTTGATGACATGATTTTTGCTCTAACACTAGAAGATGATCAATAATATTCCATCAAAATGAAAAGTGACTAGAAGCTGAAAGAAACATCAGCATCAATACTGTTTGCCCAAGAAACACAGTCTTTGCTCTCACCACACAGTGTCACCCTCTTCCCATATCTTCATAGTTCTGCTCACGAGGTGGGACGGGAAGACCAAGCCTTTTCTCTATTTAAAGTAATATAACATATTGCCTTAAAGAAAATGGATCTAGAATCTAAAAAGGTGTCCTTAGAGGTGGCAATTATTATGGGGTGATGCCATTTCTTTCAGATGTCTCTGATGAATTCACGAAAATCACCCCAATTTGGTTATTCATCATCACTGGCCAAATCCTGGAGCTAGAGTCAGAGAATGATTTAGTCATTCGGCAAAAATAAGCCAGTCTTTCAGACAGCCGCTAACTTACCATTATATAAGAGGCTGGCTTCCCTGAGGCACATCTGTCACTCATTCTGCTCACATGACATGACTATCCTCAACCAAAACCCCATCCCTTCCTTCCATCTCCCAGTGCTATTATTGCAACATATGCGTTGCTCTGTATTTCAGTACCAGAGGCTGTTTGGCTCATTAACACAACAGTGCAGTCAGACACCAGCCTTGTCATATCCTGGAGAGAATCTCCCAAGCCAAATGGACCTAAGGAGTCAGTCCGCTATCAGCTGGCAATTGCACATCTGGCCCGAGTTCCGGAGACTCCTCTAAGACAAAGTGAATATCCTCATGGAAAGCTTGCTCTCCTGGTTACTGGACTGTCCGGGGGGAAACTCTATGTGTTAAAGGTACAGCGAGGCTATTGGGTACTTTTACTGCCATTCTCAAGCACAAGGTTGTGAAAAGGTTAAGCAATTTTTGTTGTTGTTGTCTTTACAAAAGGTCCTTGCCTGCCACGCTGAGGAAATGTGGTGTGCTGAGAGCCACCCTGTCACGGTGGAAATGTTTGACACCCCAGAGAAGCCTTATGCCTTGGTTCCAGGCAACACCAGTTTGCAGTTAGATTGGGAGGCTCCATCTAATGTGAACCTCATCAGGTTTTGGTTTGAACTCCAGAAGGTAGATCACACCGTACACTTCAATGCAAACTCTTCTTTTATGCTGTAGAATAAGTTGGAAGTTCTTTTGCATATCTCTAGAGCATTCTCTTGTATAAATCAACAATATATTTGACCATATTCATTGATTCAGGTTTGCCATCTAGAAGCTGTGAACTGTCTAGACCAGTGGTCGGCAAACTCATTAGTCAACAGAGCCAAATATCAACAGTACAACGATTGAAATTTCTTTTGAGAGCCAAATTTTTTAAACTTAAACTATATAAGTAGGTACATTCAACTTTAAATTCATGGTTTTTGTCTTCCGTTTTTCTTTGCTTCTTCTTTGTAGCCATGTCAAACAGGGCACCTAAAAAAATGTTTCATTTTATAATAATAAAAGCACCAACACAAAAGAATTACAATTCTTAAATTGATTAGAAAAATACCTGTAGGATTTGCAGCTGGTTGGAAAAATACAGGTAACTTTATGCTTCGAGTAGGTACTTTTGCCACCCACATGCAATTTGCGGATGCGACTAGCACTAACCACTGCACAATGAGGCTGCTGACTGACTGGCTCACTCAACTCCTGCATGAATCGCGCGCGCCTCCCCTGCGCTGCGTATCCCACGGCCCGACCGACCGACCGACACCCCCCACTTCTTCTAACGCCACTTCTTCAACATAGACTCGCCCAGGCCGAAAACCGACTTCTGCACACGGGCCACGAAGTTTCAATCACACTGTATGTGCACGCCCGCACGTGGTATTTTGTGGAAGAGCCACACTCAAGGGGCCAAAGAGCCGCATGTGGCTCGAGAGCCGCGGTTTGCCGACCACTGGTCTAGACTAATTTCTGGTAGGAAGAATTCCCAGAGAGATTAGTTTGCTCTTAAAAGGCTCCATGTAAAAGGGTATAAATTATGGTTTATGGATTTTCATAATATTTTACTTTGTTTAGATGTTATCAGCATGGTTCTCTGGTTTAAAGTCCATAGCAATTTGGTATTTTCTATATAAAAAAAAGAAAGACATATATAAGCAAAAAAACAAAACCTGTTTAGAAAGGTTCTTTCAACCATTTAAGGCTATATAACAACAGGAGAGGAGTAAGATATAAAACCATTTGATCTTGGCATATAAACTATAAGTGTTCTTCATCCAAAAATCTTCATGCTTTAACCAATCTAAAAATATTCACTGAATTGTAAAATATCAATCTAATTACTTCACTGCTAGGGAAAAGTTTAGATTGATTTTATATTGCTACAGTTAGAATGGATTATTACATTTTTATAATTGCTACATTTCATTTTCATCACTGTATATCCACGTGTTCACATTTATAAAGAATGTCTTGTTCAGTGGTAACTTAAAAACAAATCAGTATAGTCATGGCTTCATTTTTCTTTAAAAATGAAGTTGCTCTCAGGATGTTTTTTTAGAGTTTACTACATAAGATTATTTTATGACCTTGTACTTTTATATAAAAACTATGAAATGTGTGACACAACAGTGAATGTTGACTTGACAAAACCAAAGGCCATACTTTAATGGGACTTCTTCCACTGAGCATTTTTATGATGATGTGTTGCCTATTTAAAAAATGGTCATCTTATAAAAATGCAGTTAAATTGGAGAAATTAGAAATCACTTTTATTTTTTTACATCTATTTAAGTAAGCTTAATGCAGTTCAGTTTAAAGTCAAGAGGAGGGATATACAGCTCATTTCCCAGATCAAAGAGATGAAATGGGAAGGACCTTAGAGATGATGATCTCTAGCCTCTCATTTTACTGATGAGAAGTCAGAGACCCAGACAGGCGCCGACATGAGTCAGATCTCCCCAGACAGTCAGCAGAGGACCCCAGGTGACTCATTCCTCAGCAGTGCTCCTTGGGTGCTGTCCATAGAAGGAAGAGGAGTCATTAAGCCACCCAACTCCTCAACATTTGGAGAGAAGGACATGGCTAGGGACTGCCTAGTTCAGTCCCCATGACTTTCATGCAACACTTTTTGTTTCAAAACTCCTTGTATTCTTACACTTGCTCAACACAGGTTTCAGAAAGACCACTTAAAAATCATGAAGCTGAAATTGTCTGACACAGTACCTATAGATAATCATTCCTAACTGAGTAGAAAACTAATACAAAGTGTCCGTCCAATGAAATGGCATGGCCTTGGAGTGCTAAGTGAAAAAGGAGATGTAAAGCAGGTTTATTTATGGAAGCTGACCTTCGTAGGAAACTACTGGGGAAAATACACTAAGAACCCTTGACAAAATGCCACCTGCCATGTCTCTTCCTGTTTGTATGTTGAAAAAAATCGCCATTTTCAAATAATGATGTTAAGGGTCCAAATACATGGAGTTTTAAAAAAGTAATGTCACAGAGAAAGAAGTTTAAGATTAGTAAAATCAGAGACCCAGTATCTAAAGAAAGTAAGATTTCCTATAACTTCTAACCTGGCTACTGATGGTGGGCAAAAATTTTCTTCTCTTGGCGATCGAGTCTTCCTTTGTATAATAAGCAATGCTAGTTAGATGTCTGAAAAAAGTTTTGGGAAGAAAAACTAAATGTCTTAATCCATAACTCAATGTGGACTTCTTCATAGAATCAAAACATGTAAAAATATCATTGTTTTGAAATTAACAAATCTTTGGAATTGAAAGTATCATTGTTTTGGTCCATCACTGTCCCTCAGCGGTGAACTGGCATTCTTAGCCAACCTGATTCAATGCAGGCACATATGATTAGAGGAAATAAGAAGTCAAGCTCCAAATTTCCTTCAATGATGCACGGTCAGAAGTGTATGCCCCACCTTAGACTCATCCTAAGAACTGTCATTCACATCAGTTATAGCTGATTGTGAAAAATAAAATGGCTGTCTCTGGTAGGCATGATGTTTGGGGTCAAACATAAAGAAGCTCTTACTTTTTAATAGAAAATAAATTTTATTTAAAGTTTCATTGATTGCCTTGGCTTGTGAATTTCTGTGTTTAAGAAGGTTTTCTTAAAGAAACAAAAAATGTTAATGGAGTCTTCTTTTTCTAGTGGAAGTACAGTGAGTTTTACCACGTGAAAGCTTCGTGCAGCCAAGGCCCTGCTTATGTCTGCAACATCACAGATCTGCAGCCGTACACTTCTTATCATGTCCGAGTAGTGGTGGTTTACAGGACAGGAGAAAACAGCACCTCACTTTCAGAAAGTTTTAAGACTAAAGGTGAGTATTAACATACAGCACTGAGAAAACCCTATGTTTCCCAATTATTTTCTCAGCACTTATTTCACCAATCCTAGAGGTTGTCATTTTTTTCTTAAAAGAGTAAATTACTATTTCTAAAACTTGAGTGAAGAAATTAAAGAGTTGGTAGTCCTTATAGGCAGTAATGAGATAATACTCACCTGGTCTTGCAAGATCCTGACCAGGGCAAATTATTTCACCTTTCATTATTCGGATTTCCTGTCTAGCTATATTTTGCAGCAAGAACTAAATGAAAACAATGTTACTGAGTGCCGGACCCAATATTTACTTACTGACTACTATAACCACATTAAAGATTTTAAAAAATTTAAAAAGTATATTAAATTCACTAGTGTTCTAAAAGGTATACCATAACACCAAGTTGATCTTATAAGAATCAAAGGAGAATGTACTAAAACTTACAATATTTTCTTTTTGTATCACTTATTTCAGACCAAGCTAAGATATGTTACTCTTATCATGAATTTATCACTAGTAAAAATGTCAGATACTCATTCAAAAATATGCACTTATATGAAAACTAGAGGCCCGATGCACGAAATTCATGCAAGAGCAGGCCTTCCTTCCCCCGGCTGCCGGCGCTGGCTTCCTCTGGCATCAGGGACCCGGGCTTCCCTGTGGCTGTCAGCAGACACCTGGGACCCGGGCTTCCCTCGCAGACCCGGCTTCATCCAGAAGGAATGAAGGACATCCAGAAGGACGTCTGGTCTAATTAGCATATTATGCTTTTATTATTATAGATATTTCTGAATATTTCCTCTTAGTAAATACAGTCTATAAAAATATGTTGTGCAGGATATTTTATATTTCTAACATATCAATCAGTATTTTCTTTGTTTCCAAAGCTGGAGTCCCAAGTAAACCAGGCATTCCAAAATTATTAGAAGGGAGTAAAAATTCAATACAGTGGGAAAAGGCTGATGATAATGGAAGCAGACTTATATACTATATACTTGAGATAAGGTATGTCTATTGGCAAAAGTGCTTTGTAAACTACAAAGAGCTAAGTAGGTTAATTGTACGGTGTTATTAGATCAAAATTAACAATATTTCTCAATATGTATTTTATAAATAAATGTGAAGGATCTTTAAAGACCTCGAATGTCTCATTATCTTTTTTGCTCAGGTCCCAGCAGCTAATTGGCAGGTCTCAAAAAGTGCTTGTCAAAACTTTATGGATATAATTCTATAATTGGCACATATAATTTATATTTACTTAATATCTATTCTTTTCAGGAAGCTGAGCTGATGTTTGATGTTAGATGGTGGTATGCATGTACATTTCAGATGTTAATTTGTTTTAGCAAGATGAATAATATATGGGGAAAATTGTCAATGAGCTAGGAATTTTTCAGAACGTAAAACCAGGAACAGGTCACGCAGGACTCTCTATCCACCGTGAAGATTACGGTTTGCAGTGTGTTCCTGGGACTGCAAATGTGCCTTTGATGTAAACTAATCAGCTGATGAACATACGCAACCTCAGTCCAGCCAGGATGAGGAGCTCTGTGAATCATAACTGGCTCAGATGAACTGATTTCCTGCCAGCACGAAGTGAGAATTTCAAATTCCATAGACACGCCCCTCACGGGACTATGAAGCCATCTTTTAAGAAGCTCCAAGGACAAGTCACTTCCATAATTATAGTCCTGGCTATTTGAGCTTTAGATCTATTTTTGCTTCATCATGCTCTGGCATTCCCATAACCTTAAAAAATTTTCCTGCTCGTGCTAGAGGAGTGCATTAACCATATTTCTAACTGAAACCTTCTTGAAATTTCTGTTACTGTTGTTCATACAGAGTGAAATACATTCTGACCTGCAGAGCTGTCTTGGTGGCCTGTGACTGTGATTATGTCCACCAGTCAGGCGTCACCATGGCCTTGAAGGACCTTTTTAACATGTTTCCCTCAGTAACACCTTAAATGCATAGCTCCACAAATACTTTGCATTTTCTTGCCCAAGTTTCCACTCTCTGGACAGGGGCTGTGGAGTAAAAGAATGAATTGCTTTACCTTTCGTATCTCAAAGTAACTTCTTCAGTCAGGACACTCTCATGTACCTGTGTACTTGCTGACAGTATAGTGGTAGAGATAGTGCCAGATGAATGAACTTGGGAGCTGACCAGACCGTGTTAATTCCCTAGGGCTGCCACAACAAAGGAGCACCACCTGGATGGTTTAAAACCACACACATTATTCTTTTACAGTTCTGGGGACTGGAGTCTAAATTCAAGGTGTCAGGTCCAGCTGGTGTGGCTCAGAGGTTGAGCATGGACCTATGAACCAGGAGGTCACAATTCAATTCCTGGTCAGGGCACATGCCTGGGTTGAGGGCTCGATCCCCAGTGGAAGGGCATGCAGGAGGCAACTGATCAATGATTCTCTCTCATCAATGATGTTTCTATCTCTCTTTCCCTCTCCCTTCCTCTCTGAAATATATATTTAGTTGTTGTTGATGGTTTGTTAATCCTCACTTGAGGATATTTTCCCATTGATTTTTAGGGAGAATGGAAGAGAGAGGGAAAGACAGAGAGCAACATCGATTGGTTGCCTCCTGCAGGAGCCCTGACCAGGGCCTGGGCCAGGGAGGAGCCCGCAACCAAGGTACGTGCCCTTGACTGGAATCGAACCCGAGACCCTTTGGTCTGCAGGATGGCACTCTATCCACAGAACCAAACTGGGTAGAGCCATAAAAATATATTGAAAAATAAAATAAAATAAAATCAAGGTGTCAGTAGGACCATGCTT